GCTCACTGGTCTCTGTCAGAAAGGCAGTGTATCTTATCAGTCCTGTTGTTGCATCATATATTCAGAAAAAGATTGCTGAGACTTCAAGATTTTGAGCAATGTTAACAAAAGTGTTAGACAGCCTTTGCAGGAGTCAGCCCATGGTAAAGAGAGATGACCTAGCTCTGCATGGTATCAAATCAGTGAACAAACTACTATTAATCTATACAGCCATAGGATTAGATCCTTAGTAACACAGACATTTTTGTGCGTCGTATCTTTAGATTTACAGCTGTCATTTTTTCTCTGCTACTTTTGTGATGCAATATAGAACTAAACACAATAAATTAGAAATTGTACATAATTTCTAATATCTATTAATCTGTGCAGTTTCTTAGAACCAAAATTGTATTCTCAGCTTCTTTTAATACAGATTTTGTTTTTCAGACAGTCTTATGTATTTCCTTTTTGTTTGTTTGGTTGTCTTATTTCTTAGTGTTCCTAGTTCCATTTTTAATGAAATAAAGTATTCACTTCAAGACCTCAACTAATTTGAACAAAATAAGATGTGCAGGGATAGTTTTCTCCACTATAGAGTAAAGAAAGCAGATAAATGTGTGCATCAAACTGTTAGAACTGCAGTCTTCAGCCTGTATTTTTAAAATTATTTCTTACTGCTTTAGAGTTATTTTTACATAGCAACCCTACCTCTGCAACTCTTCCAATAATACTGAAAATGGTATGATAGATTAAACTTTATTTACTCTTGAGTAATGGTTGCTTAAGCTCTGGACATGCTAGGTGACACATGGCCTACAGATGTGTATCGGTTGCAGAGGCAAAAATTGATGTCCGTAGTGACTGGCAAGAAGTTACGGCAGTGTGAGAAGGGACTGCCAGTACCTTCCTGAGGGTGAGCAGGTTGTTAACTTTGCAGTTTGTGTTAGAACATCTGCTGGCTGCCTACTTATTAAAAAAAACCCAAACAGTCTGTAAAGAAAGCACGGCCTGCACTTTGAATATTGTTAACTACTGGGCCAAATCATTCTTCTGGCCTCTGTGGAAGACACAAGTTGTAATTTAAAAAAAAAAAAAAGTGAGTGTGAGAGAGCATGAAAGAAGAAGGAAGGAAAGGAGGAAGGGACGAAAAATGAAACACTGGAAAATAATAGGCATTTTTGGTTGTAGATGTATAGAAATATCTGTGTTCCTTTTCTCAAGGTTTTCAAGAAATCGCGGCTCTTGGATTGCCCAGTGGCTGTTGTTACAAAGCATCTTTCCCTTGTGCAATTGGCTCCGTTAATAGCATCATCCCTGGTTCTATCTTGTATCTATTATGAATATATGTTTCTAGGGGCAAATTCTGGAACTAGGCATATATATGCTTTACAACAGGGAACAAGAATGGAAGGAAACACTTCTATTCTTCCACAGAAAGGAAGGAAAACTTTTCTAGTGTTCAACATCATGTAGAACGCAGGGGCTTTTACATGTTGAATGTGTAGTGGGTGTAGGTAGTTGTACATGCCCTGAATCTATCCGTACTTTTCGCTATGATCATGAAAGAATTATCAGAATCATATCAGAATAATAGAAATTACAGAACTGTAATTCTGTGGGAGACACCTCTGGAGGTTACCTAGTCCTTCAGCTCCTAGCAGGACTGTCACCAGCACTAGATCAGGTCAGCTGTACCTTTGCCTAGCTGCATCTTCAAAAATTCGTGCTTTGAAGCTGCATATTCCTGTTCTGCACTACCCTTCTGATAAAGTTGTTTTTCTTAACATCCTGTGAACCTCCAAACCTGCAGCTTGTGGCTGTTTTCCCTTAGTTTACCATGTGCCGTTACTTCGTGTTTGGCTTTGTAGTCTTTAACCCCCTTTCAAGTAGTTGTAGTCTACTGTTAGACCTTCACTTAGCCACCTCTTTGATGGAGAGGAGATCCTCCTTGCTGGAGAGGAGATCTTTCCTTCACTAGAGTCTGCACTTTCTCAACACCCTTTTTGAACTAAGAGACCCGAAACTGTAGTAGTGTTGCAGCCTCAGCACTGAGTAGAAGTGGATAATAATTTCCCTCTATCTGCTCACCATGCTGTTGCTAATACAGCCCAATGTGGAATTTGTCTGATTTACAGTAAGCGCATATTTAACTTGGTGCCCACTGTGACTTCCAGGTCCTTTCTCAGCCCATATTGATGTGGGATTATTTAACCTGAGGTGCAGAACTTTACATTTTTTCCTTGCTGAGATTCATGTGGCTTCTATTGGTCTAGCTGTCAAGGTTTCTTATGGTCCATCTGCGAAGTGACACACACTGACCTTAAGCCCACCAGTTGGTTTAAAAAATGAGCTTGTCTTACATCCCATATTGTTTGAATAGCATGTTTGCAATACTGTTTAGGAAATAAGAAACAGTCCTGCTTCCATAAAAGGGAAATAAAATAAACAGGAACAAGACCAATTTTTTTTTTAAAAGTGATAGGGTAGAGTTGTTAGATTTGAACTGTCACATTAAAATGAACTCCAAGGGTATGTGACCATTAAGCAAGTTACACTGCGACTAGGCTAGGGCTGGTGCCTAGCCCAAATAATAGAAGAGCATTAGAACATTCTTTGAAGGGGAGCAGTGAAGGGCAAAGATGCTTTTTAGGATGGAATCTGGTAGGTTGATGGGTGGAATTGAACTACATATTTGCCTGTAATAACAGGACACTGGACATGATGACCCAAGAGGTCATCTTGGCCCAGAAGGTCCCATCCAGTCCTGTGTCCTATGTTCCCTTTATCTAAAGAAGCTGTTGAAATTTTGCATATATAAAACTTTCTATCTCTTTTGTCTCACCTTTTCTTTTACTACTATGATTTTGATATATATTTTGCCCATAGCAAATGCCAACCATAGTATTTTTGTCTTCCTTATGTTGTCTTACATTATTTATCTTTCTATATCCAAGCTGCAGACTTAGTTATAAGCAGGGAGACAGAAATAGCTGTTATTGTGAAATGTATACATGGTAGGATTTGCTTGAATTTAAGTGTTTTTGCAGTATGTTTCTCAAGAATTCTGATAATTCATATTGTAACATCTGTGGTGCTCTCTAGCCAAAGAAATCTGATGGCTTTTGGTGCACAAACCATTCACATTTCTTCTGTGAGGCCACTTCACTCTTGTTATCCAGTAATTGTTCCAGTTTATTGGTGATAAATTAGAGTGGAAGGGACAATTTTAGTCTTTAGAAGTAAGAATTAGGAAAAAAATCAGGAGAAGGGAGTGAGGAGAAGGACGATGTCCATCAGTTTCAGTGGGCTGGAAGATCTCATGCAAAATATAATGCAGCTGAGAAGAACCTGCCTTTGGTGAAGCTGTACAGTGCTTATGAAGTGTACTCAAAGCAGAGGAAAAAGGCAGGAGTATGGGACTGACCTGAGCAGAGAATGAGATCCAGGAATCCTTGCTTTGCACTAGGAGAAAACCTTACCTCTCATCGTGATCCCAGGGTGCTGCCTGTTGGAGATGAAAACCTGGAGAGGAGTATGTAGTTTATTAATAAGCCTCTACATTTATTAGGTTACCAGTGTCAGATTTATAAATGGATATATCGCATCCTATACATAACCAACCCTAAATGGCCTTTTCACAGGGAAAAGAAATCTAGCCTCCCAAATTAAAGACTTTGCACATGAGAATATAAAGATCTTTGTTTAAATCACAAACGGTCAAGGCTTGTTTTTTATTTGGTTGTATGTGAAAGTGCCAATCTGTGTAACAAATAGAAAGTACATAGTTTTGTGTGTAATGTCTGTGCTATATTTGAGTATATGATAGTAGGAGATATATGGTATGAGTATGATAAGGATTGTAATCCTTACTGATAAATTATAGTCCATACATTTAACGCTGTGTGTGATAAGTGAGCAACATCATGTGTTCCCGAACAAGTTAAAAAAAATGAATCATTCTCTTTGTGTCTCTTATGCTTGGCTCTAATATTTGCGTAGCAACAGATAATTGAAAAGTATACAAAGTGCTGAAATGATGATTTCTGAAGGTAAAAAGGAACAAATGTGTCAACTGATCTGTTTTGATAGCAGTGACTTTTGCAATTTATCCAAATGAAATATGCTATTACTATGAAATATGCTATTACTATAGGAAAAAAAAAAAAAAAAAAAAAAAAAAAAAAAAAAAAAAAAAAAAAAAAAAAAAAAAAAAAAAAAAAAAAAAAATATTGTCCAATTAGCTAGGAAAAGAGATTCAATGTATAACTCCGTTTAAAGTAAGAATTTTGGTAAAATGAAGAAACTAATGATGTTTAAAAAAAGCATTGAAACAAATCTGAAGTTGGAGCTTCAATGATACAAGGTGGTGATATATTAACTTAAAAATTCTTCAAGCATGTTAGGGTGATTTAAGGAAATTCTGGTGACATGGAAGGAAGAATAAGTCAATGTAAACTTCCATGTCAACGTGAAAAAATTGCAAGGCAGTGTAAAATTAAATGAAGACCCTCTTACATAGCTTACAACTTTTTGACTCTCCTTAGTATGGGATAACACTGTCTCAAACTCCCTTATTAGGTAGAACTCTGTGAGTCCTAATTAAATAAAGGCTGACATAATGAATAGTGAAAGTAAGTATACCACTACATAGCTTTTAAGGGTATTTCCAGGGCCCTGTTCTACAGCATTTTCTGGTTTTAATGAATGCAAAGAATCCTATTGACCTGGATGGGACTATTTGCTTAAGCAAAGGTACAGTATACTTCCATGTTTGCAGAAACAGAGCCTTTTTCTCTCACAGAATGTGAAAACAGGAAAATCTCATGCAATTATGTAATTATAACCTTGTCAGTACAGCTATCATTAAGTGCTATGCAATTAAAACCTGTAAAATAAACTGCCATGAAGTATTTATCTCCTTAGTCCTGATCAATACAACTTACCCACTTACTGCAAATTCTAACTAGTATAAGAGCTGTTAAATTACATTGTCTTTCATTGTACTTTTTTGTCTTTTACAGGAAAAAGTAGAATATGCCTTCCTGATAATTTTTACAGTTGAAACATTTTTGAAGATTATAGCATATGGATTATTATTACACCCCAATGCATATGTTAGAAATGGATGGAATTTATTGGATTTTGTAATAGTAGTAGTAGGGTAAGTAACTTATCCTTCATTATATAAAGATTTAAAATCTTCTTTACAGTCAGGTAGATATAGGTCTGTTTGGCTATGAGTAATGGGCTATGCTTGATTTCTATTCCTTTGGAGTAAAAGAATGAACTGATACGAGTGGAAGAATTCAAAACAAGTTCCTAAAAAATTTCAACGCTATCTGTGGCTGCAGGCTGTGTTGCGCAATCAGCTTTATAGTAAAAGTTCCCAGGGAATTCTGAGTTCTGCCAAAAATTTTCCTTGGTTGTTGTCTTGCAGAATCTTTTCCATCTGATTTTTTCCAAGGTGAACTGCTGATGTCTTTCCATGTGATAAAGGTTGATCTGTTTAGGTCCGTACATTGCTATGTTATTTATTCATTTATCCCTATACTGCGGTTATGCGGAGTTCATCTGTTCTATGGAGACCTCTAGGAGAACCCACGTGTTTCGAAGTGGAGGAGAGTGGTCAGGGGAGACAGAGTTAACTGAATGATTCCATGACTTTCCCAAAATCTGAGGAAAATTGGACACTTAAGTACTTTCCTTTGGGGTGCTGCACATCAGGCCCCAGGTATATATGATTTTGGCTTGCTGGGGGGAGAATGTATGCTAAAAATGCCTTCCCCCCCCGTGCGCCTTGCTGTACCAGGAAACCCTGGAGAGTTTGTTCTGCTCCTCAGAGGAGGGGCTGCTCAGGCCTTACGCAGGTTACAGAAGAGTGGAGAGTGGAACATCCACAGTTATGTTATGCACCTGCTTATGATAAATAACAAATCTGGCCTTTTTGTCAGCAACTTCGTGTCAATGGTTGTGCTAGTTCATGAGAAGATCCTACCTTCAGCTATCTAGGGAATTAATCTTGAGGCATATATTCCCCAATTCCCTATATATGGAGGAGATTATACTGAAAAAAAAAAAAAAATTTCCAGTACTGTAAATTTTGTTTACTGAAAACATTTATTGATATAGCACATGGAGAACATTATCAACATATAACTTTGTATGTTGTGGCTGGCTTGCAGAGAAGACCTTGGCATGCAGTGTGCAATTCTAATTTCATTTTTAAGTTCGAACTATTTCAAGGGTTGCCTGTAGTTGAAAAGGCCCAGAAATTAGTGTGTGCTGCTCTTAACTCACATCATTACATTGAGGGAAAAGAAAAAGACACAAAGTAAAGGAATTTGTGGTAAAGCGTTATTAAATTTGGGCAAGTATTATGAATGTATGAATATCCAGTTTATAACTGTTTGATTCTGAGAAAGTAAATGTTACTGAGAAGATTATATTTGGGCCAGTTGCTTAGCATTCAGGCAGTTTTGGTCCGGGACTAAAATTTGTGTATAAATAGATCCTTCATCAGGTCAGGTCATTCTCAACAGATTGGCCTCTGTGCCTGAAGGGGAAGCTTGGTGGGCAGGTGTGGAGACTATCACACATAAGAGCTCTATTCTCTTGCCAGGCAGTTACTTGAATAGATCTCTTCCCTCTTGTCAAGTGACCATGGAGTTACAGTAACCCTGGAGCAGTCTAATTAACATGACCTCTATCTTTGGCTGTGTCCTAAATACATGATAACTAAAAAATTTTCCATTAACTCATAAAACACTCATTATTGGAGGCTAAATCTAGTTAGGTCAAATGCTCACATTGAATCCAAGGAAACTACCAAGAAAAAGGACTACATCTTATCAAATACCTAAAATATCACACTAAGATTTAAATCCTAGCTCAAAACCAAAAGTTTTGGCATATAAACTATTGTGTAGGTTGTCATCGGTCTACCTGGAAGACAAGGTGGACCCTTCATAACACATCAAGCACTGACAAAACTGAGAGCAGTATTTTTGTTCTTGCACTCTGTGAGCAATATTTTTGTTTCTTCTTTTAAGAAGAATACAGTCCACATAAGTAAGCAAGCATGAATCCACTTATTTAATTAATACTTAAAAGCCCAGTGAAAAATTGATTTTCATATATAACCCAAGGTAGATATGGAATCACTTCCAGATCTGATTTTATTTGACTAGTTTCATTGTGAAATTTCATTAGGTATTTTAATAGCTTTGAAAGAGCTGCCATGATGTCCTACATTGGATGTATTAGATTAAATTTGCTTTGTGTGCTTTCTCAGCAGAAACTGTAGCAGTCCAAATGCATAAATCTTAATTATACCAAAAGAAATCTCTACTAGCAAAAGAGAAGCAAGTATAGAGACTCTTTTGCATAACATCAAATTTGACATTTAAACTTTGGTAAACTGTACAGGAAAATAAATGCCAATTTTAAAAGTTATAAAGGAGATCAATGGCTTTTATACCTAAATGGCTTTATAGGATAGACATAAAATGACAGAGCTGTAGACATAGCTGTGAATGCGATGTTTTCTCCTGTCTTTCTCACTTCTCTCTGAAACCAGTGAGTATGAATTACTTTCAGAACAGTCTACTGCTTGCCTGCATGCTGTGCCACGTGATTTCCATTGATTTCTGTGAAAGAATAAAGTCCTGGTAGAGAAAGCTCTCATAGCACCTTCCTGTGCCTGTAGCCCTTTAATTTTCTGAATGATGTATGGACTGACAGGCTGAAAACAGCTTCTCTTAATCTGGGACTTGATTCAGAAGTCTGTTTAATCATGTCTGCCTTTAGAGCATGAATAGTCACTCTGAAATCATTGAGATGGCTCATTTTCTTAGAATTATGCTTCTATTAAATTATAGGGCTGAAATATTAAACATCTGGATTTCTGTGGTTATAGCAGTATGTAGATTGCTGGTGTTCATTCTAAGATCTGTAGTCTTTGTGGCTGGGTTTCATTCTGGAGGAGAATGAAGCAGGATAGGGGTGGGTATTGTGCTTACTGGGGGAAGAGAAGAAAGTTTTCAATATTCTAGTTTGGGCAATCTATTAAACATTACATGATTTCTAGCAACTATCCAGCATGACAGAGTTGTGAAAACTTTTCTTGACAAAACCAAAAACCTGCATGTTTCAGGAGTCCTTTACAAGTGTGAAACATTTTTCAGGATTACAAAACTCTATTGACTTGATAATCCTTTCAGGAGAAGTTCAGTTTTGCAACTACTGAACTACAGACTCTGCAAAGGATAATATGGTTTGCGTAGTCTAGCCACAGTCTAGAAAACCATGCATCTGAAAAGCAGGTCCAAACTAAAATAAACCTAAGATTACTTTGGACTTCAACCACTTGCATCACTTTGAATTGCTGCTAGAAGTGGGAAAGAAAAAGAAAACTCTTCTTTTCCAAACTGTTCTAATGAGACTAGCTCATTTCTGCAGTGAAGAAATACAACATAATAAATGACTCATCTGGGAGTATTTTTATCCTCAAAGATATTATGTGTAAGAAACAAATCTTTTTGGTGTTATTAAATGTTGGACTCTATTTTTCATATATTCAGTTTTTGCTGTCTGTATTTAGAATATTGAACTGCAGTGTCACTTGGAGTTCATATATTCTACCAAAATTAAAACAGATGGTTTCTTGTGATTATCTATTTCATGTTCTAAAGAGAAGAATAATTCTCCAAACCTTACAGCTGAAACGTTTGAACAAAGAAGTGGCAAAGTAGCTTCATTTACTTAAAAATAGCAGATTGTGTATATAGGCAGAATGTTAATTTATTGGATACTGTGTGATCATCGCGCTCTGGAGGGATTAGAAACTCTTGCACTTCATAACTCTTCCTGTCATGATTTAATGTGTAAATATACCTCTCATTTTGACAGCTGAACAGCTTTTCAGAATTATCTGCTGTTCAAGTAATTTCCTAATGCCTTTGATTGCATGGTAAATGGATGGTGATGACCTTACCCTTCATCTCATTTTCTAGATTATTTAGTGTAATATTGGAACAATTAACCAAAGAAACAGAAGGTGGCAGCCACTCAGGTGGCAAACCTGGTGGCTTTGATGTCAAAGCCCTAAGAGCCTTTCGTGTATTGAGACCTCTCCGGCTTGTATCAGGAGTGCCCAGTAAGCTCTTTTCTATTTAATTCCATTGGAATGAATAATGTAACTGATCTGGTTATTTAACTTTCTTGTTCCAGACACTAACAGAAATGAGATAATATGAAGTTGACTACTTTTGTTATCTGGTTATGTATATCAAGTGAGTTTAGAGATGAATGATACCCTATTTCAAGTTGAATGAAGGATTGTGAATTCATTCAGTGTATGATCTTCTTACACAGTTCAAAAAGCAGACGGGAATACACTTCCTTTTTAGAAGCTTTATATAAAAGTAAATTACATGTTAAAATGCAAATACACCAGAAAAAAAAATTCCGATTTTTTTTTTTTAATTCCAAAACCCTGCAGATCTGAAAGTGTAGGTGGTCCTAAAATAGTTTATATGTTGGTAAGTGTATGCCAAAGCACGTTACAGATTTCATATTTCCTGCCCCCTCCAATGCACATGAATGCCTTCTGTTTATCTCAGTAGAGCTAACAGATAAATTAGGAAACTTGAAAAGTAGAACAATATTATTTAAAGAAAGCAATTGAATTTTCTGATAATCTTTCCTGTTTTTTTTAAATACATTATTAATTACTAAATCTATTTGGGCTGAATAAGAGGTTCATGGCTTACAATTTGGCTCTTTCCAAGACATTCAAAAGAAGAATCCTGATGCTGTGTTTACTGTATCATAGTCTGTTACATGGAAATGATCGTGATGGTATATATTTAGCAAAAGAACTTCAGTGAGGAAAGAAGTAGTCTTATCAAATGTCAGAAAGGAAGTCTGTTAAAATAAAAATGAGCCATATTTTGTTCTCATTGGTACTGTGGCAGCTTCATTAGTCTGGGATTTACTTCTTTTGGTAAGACCCAAATTTGGCTAAATATTTAATTAAGGAGAAAAGAAAAGAAAAATAAAGTAGTTCTGAAAGTGATGTGAGGGGTAAATGATGAAAAAGTAAGTTTGTTCAGAGTAAAAATGTGTTTTCCCAGGTAACTATACTCTATTTCTCTCTCCAGACCAAAAATACAGTTCTGTAATTGGCTGAGTGTACACTTTCTGAGGACTTGCCACAAAGTTGTGGTTGTAGCACAGAACTTTTTAAAGGTCATATAAAATGACCTACAGCCACATACTGACTACATGCCCTTTCTTTCTAAAAAGCCATAAATTCTTGTGACACATTTCAAGCATTGACTTCTATGGCATAACCTTTATTAACAGAGGAAATAATTAGACTTTGACACAAAGTTTTATGTTCTTACAAAGTATTTTATGTTACAGAACATTTTGTGGCTCTGAGCAGTAGAATTTTTTTTTAAAACTGATTCGCTCTGCATGCCTGTATCATTAATTTCTAATAATGTGTAATTATAGAAAATTCGGTAAGGCAAGACATAGAAGTCTGGTTCATATCTTGTATCTCCTTTTTTTCTTTTAGGTTTACAAGTTGTCCTGAACTCCATTATAAAAGCCATGGTCCCCCTCCTCCATATTGCCCTTTTGGTATTGTTTGTAATCATAATCTATGCTATTATAGGATTGGAACTTTTTATTGGAAAAATGCACAAATCTTGTTTTCTTATTGATTCAGGTAAGTCATGAAACTGTTGACTAAAATAAGGGATTAATTTTGTTTTATTCCAATCTGTGGGATTTCAGTTTGAAATAGAACATGGGCCAAAGCACTAGAACTGTTGTAACCCCAATTTTTACTGTGGTTCATAATTTTAGGAAGAGTGCATTACATTTAAACAACAACAGTGCAAACTAGTTAGAGACTAGAACATGCTCTGAATAGGTTTTCATTTCTGAAATGTGTAACTGAAATGTCAGTAGTGAAAATAGTAAGGGTGACTGTTCACAAGGGACAACTCAGTAGTTTTTTCTAATCTCTGATTACTGAAGAGCTAGCTAGTCCTATTCCAGGGAAGATATACTTTCCTGAGTTCACAATCTGGCAGTGTCTCTCCTTCCAAGATTGTGGTAGTGTGGTAAGAAGTGCAGTTCTGAAATGACTGATGAAAGAAAATGGTGTTCCTCTGTCCAGGTGAAATGATGAAACCAAAGTGTTTTGTTATGGGAGAATTTTGAAGGAATTAAACATCATGAGGGAGTAGCTGATGGCTAAGGGTACGTTTCTATCAGCTAAGTAATGAAGTAGACTCTATGTGTCTAAAAAGATATGTTGTATTACTACATGCTTCCTTCCAGTGCTTAATTACTTGAGCTCTTTTATACATTCAGTTTTGATTAGCCTATTTAAGGCTGTAAGGCCCAGATGTGAGAGACACTAAAAGCTGTGAAGCTCCCACAGATAGCCTTTCTTGGTGTTTCTCAGCTTGATACCTGGATTTACCTTCCAACAGGGTTGATACTTCTTCGTGCAAAGAGTTAACTCACAAAAATTTGAGAACGGAAAGGTCTGAGGTTTTTTGGTCAATTTTCAGATATACTAGTTGAAGAAGATCCAGCACCTTGTGCATTCTCAGGGAATGGACGTCAGTGTGTCATGAATGGCACTGAATGTAGGGGTGGATGGGTTGGACCAAATGGAGGCATAACCAACTTCGATAATTTTGCATTTGCGATGTTGACTGTATTCCAGTGTATAACCATGGAAGGATGGACTGATGTGTTATACTGGGTAAGTTCATAAATCACTGAGCTTTGTTTACTTTTAAACAAGCTTCAATGTTCAAGTGAGAAATAAGCTGTGCTTTACAATACCGTC